TATATCGTATTGACTTACTTTTTACATAGGAGTTACGGACAATGGCCCACCGGAACCGGTTCAACAAAACCATGCCACACCTCCACCTGGCATTGGTAACTCGGTCACTTATTATGGTAATGAAGGTCAGTGTTTTTGATTTCTATGTTATAATTCTTACACACACTGACCTCATATTCGTGTTTTCTGCGTTAGGTAATAACAATCGCCCTGTCCAGGCTCACACTTCCGTGTTGCGTCCTACATCCAGGCACTCTATCAATGGAGGTATGATTACATGTTTATTTTTGATGTTTTTTTACGCTTGTTGATTTATACATTTTTAATTGCATTTCAGGTCCCGAAAGTAATCGCTTGATGTCACCTCAGCCTTATTCCTATGCGCCTCAACCTCATATTACTCAACCTCCTCGTCATCATTCTAATCCGCCACCTCAATGGCATACACCACCCGACTCTTCTATACCAGCTCCAGCCATTGCTTCTTTTGAGCCGATGCCGACTTCAGATACTCATACTCTGCTTTCCCAATCTTCTCAATCGCCTGGTATGAAGCGCAAAGCACCTAGCACTTCTCGAAAAGGCAAAGCCTCTACTTCAACATCTACCCGAAACACCAAAGCTTCTGCTGCCACTACCTTAACTATTGGTGACACTCCTCTAGACTCTGATGAAGTGGTATCCGGTCGAGGCGGTAACTACCACCCAGACGAAGATCTTCAGATATGCCGGTCGTGGTTGAACATCTCTCAGGACAGCTTGATAGGAAATGCTCAAACTTCAATGACGTTGTGGAAGCGAATTTCAGCTGACTTCAAACATTACAGACTACTTGAACCTGCAATCGTCAAGCAACCTGATCTGTATGTGGAAAGGACTGACGAGTCTATGCAAGGTAGATGGCGATTGATCAACAAAGCGGTCAATAAATTTGTTGGTTATTTATCGAAGACGAAGAATCTCCACGGCAGTGGCAAATCAGCTGATGATATCATTGCTGATGCTCACGAGATGTACCGTCAGCGAGAGGGTAGTGTGTTCAAATTCATGCAATGCTATACGATCTTATCTTCAGCTCCAAAGTGGTCTGATTACAACGTCGACCTTGCTAGAAGATATACTCCAAAACCTCCTCCCACTGTCATATCAATCCGTTCGACTCCTGCTCCTACCGACGATTCTGACATAGAAGTCATCTCATCTGATTTACATGATCGCCCTATCGGTAATAAATTAGCTAAAAAGGCGAAGACTCAAGATGCTATATTGAATCAAATGGCTGATAATGTGAAGGCTATGGCAGAAGCTACTACTTCAATTGCTTTGCACTCTGCTGTTCAGAGCGAAGCAGTCGACTTCCTCACTGACGATCTTGTGCTTAAAACTGATACTACAAAACTAAATGGTGAGATCAAGTTATTTTATGAAATGAGACAGGCAGAGATTGTAAAGAAGTGTATGGCTAGATTAATTGCTGCAGCTAAAGATTAGTATTTGATTCTTATGTATTACTAGTATTTTCCCTCCGCACACGTGTTTGAATGTTATCATCCTTCTATATTATCCTCGTCCGTCTTCTCCTTTTTCCTCTGCACACGCGTTTGATTGGTTTGTTTGTTATATTCCGTTTATTTACCTGAATGTTTGGTATCTGTCTATAATGAGAGTTCTTGATATGTGATCGGTAGTGATTGATTAAACCAAAAAAATTACTTTTCTTTGTATATAATACATAACTTTTCAATGCGATTAATTGATACAACAGTTTGACCTTTATGTTGGGTATCAAGCCCCTTGATTTGAGCCAGCCCACTTTCGAGTAACAGCAACTGAGAAAATCACTTGAATTGAACATATATAGTAACTTATGAGTTTATAAACTTATAATCGAAACAAAATATAATATAAAAACCAATTGGGAGCTACACAAAAAACCACAAAGATTTCATGGATACAAAGCTAC